CTAATGCAAGGGGCTCAAGTGAAGCTTGGGAAACAAATCTAATGGTTTTAACCACGGAAATTAAAAAAGAAAAGAAAAGAAAAAAAAAAACACAAACAAGAAAACACATAGGAAAAAAAAAAAACCCACCAAGTACATGATCCTCATTTCCTTTGACCCCTGCTCCCAGTGAGTTCTACTGGGAATATCCTCAATACCAGTAAATGGGGTAGTGTCAATCAGAAAGCCTGCAGATAATTCTAAAATGCATTTCTCAGTCTAAACTCCAGCATCTGCACTGTAAAATATCAAACTATTGTGCATCTAAAACTACGGGTATTTAACACAGTTACAAAGCCTTTGCCATCTTTCTAAGTGCAGGCATTACTTCCTATACGACATCTTTTCTTGCATTTTGTTACACAGAAATAATTTTTTAAAAGATCTTCAACAATGTGTAGACCATTTGCCAAGTCAGAAATGCTGGAATTCTTTGGGTGCTTTGTGCCACTCCTGGCGTTAAACACAAACGATGCAGTGCAGCTGCCAGCAGGATTCACTCCTGCTCACAGTTGCTTCCCATCCCTGGAGGGCACAAAGAACAGAACCTGTAACACCACAGGTTCCATTTACAGCAGTACATCTCTGCATCTCTAAGCAGTGTCTGACAGTCTGTATGGAGCTTAACTTTTATCATGGACATTGCTCCACTGACTCCAACAGAAACACCAGCACAAGTCTTTGCAGACAATGATTTTAACCTCATTTCCTAAGACCTCACTCTGTAAAGTGTTTAATATTTCTTATGACTTTAAATAATTTCTTATGAATTTTTCTTATGACTTGGGAATTACGAATCCCACAAGCGACTTAGGAAGATTTAGAAGCAAAACTAAGACTCCTCTATGGCATGGGTACTTTTGAACACAGGATTTGCATATTTTAGCAGTGTTATCCGTAAGAGTTTTGCAGATGGATGCGTATGTTTTGAAAGAGTATAGACAAAACAACATCTCCTGAGTAGTATTAAAAGTGATTTGCTAATAAATAAATAAATCTTCAAATAATTAAGAAAATCCTTCTCCTCACGTTAAAACAGTTACTTACTGGGGCTTCACCAAGAGTCACACCCTTTTTCCCTTCTCCTTTAAATCTCTTAAAAAATGGTCAGAGTCAGAGCACACAGCAGCAGAATCAAAGCTACTGCTGTAGAAGAAATCATACAGCACTACAAACAAGTTTCATGGAGTTCTGCCTATTGGCAACTTTGCTAGAACAAAAAAAGTCACCTGCTCTCATTTAGTCAACAAGACAGATCCAAACTGCAATGACTAAAGCACACCACCTGTACAATTATTTTTTCTTCCAAACAGAATCCTGTTTAACTCTGAGGTCTAAAGTAATTCCTTAACTGCCTTATATACTGACAACGCTACTGATATTCTAAGCACAAGAGTATTTTTGTACTGGGACCTGCAAACTCTTTTTTTTTTCTTTTCATCTAAATGCCTTTTTGAGGCTGCATACAAATAGCTGTAAATTATTTTTTAAACATTAATTTTAGGGAGAAATGTTAACACGAAATATCTGGAGGTCACACACTCTGATGCAGATGTGTTCTTTTGTATGGTTCACTTTAATGTGTGTCTGAACAGCCTCCATCCACAGCTCTCAAATGTCCTGACAAAAGATGGCAAAATGCAAAACCTTGAAACAGAAGAAGTTAACCAAAGAAAATGTACTGTTCTCCAAATTCAGGCTGGATACCAGCACTGCTACCAGCCTAAAGAATTAATAGATATCCTTGCTAAAGCTTTGTCTGAGACGGATCATCTGCAGCCATTACTTGCTGTCACTCTGATTAGAACCTCTATGAAACAGGAAGGTTGAAAATGTGCTCAAATACAAACAGATATCCACTGAAATGGCAGTGTTTGTCCTCAGTGAGCAACTGAGCCTCTGACCCCTGCCTTCTGACACTGCACAGAACTGCCATGGGATGCCAACTCTGTTTTCAGCTCAGGCTCACAGGTGGCCAAAGCCTGACTAATGCGTTTGCTGCATTTACTAATATCCAGTACTATTCCTAAAATGTACCTTTTGTCATAAGTGCATTAATAAGCAATGTTGGAGAACAAAGCAAAGTTTCTCACCTAAACGGTTTTCATAATCCTTCCAAAACACTACAAAAAGAAACCTGGATGCTACACTATTTCACGGCCATATAACACTCCACCCCTGAATGAGGGTATCCCAGATTCTGATTCTGCAACAAGCAGTCTGCAAGATTCATCTGCCACATGAGTAATTCAGACCAACACAAAATGCCAGTAATGCTTTTTGCTAGGGCTACTGGTTTGATAGTTTGAAAAGTACAGTAACATTTTTAATTGAAACCGATTACAGTAGAAGAATCTACTGTGAAATTCTGAAATTCAGTTTTGCTTATCATTTTATTCTGGGCTTAAGGTGGCATTAAATTCCAGTTCTCACTGCAACCCACACCAAAATAAAACAGTTTCTGAAAACCATCACCTGCCTGCTTTTGAAATCAAAGTTTCAGGGGAAAAAAAAAAAAAGAGTTAGAAGAAAAAACTGTGGAATTGGAAAATAAAGATAGACAAGAACTATGAGTTCTTGAAGACAAATGAGCTATACAGCATCGATGAGAACAACACACACACTGAACATAAGAGCAGCATTAACATGAATTAGACCAGGCTTGCTGCTTTGTTGCCTCAGTAAGCTAGGGAGGGCTTCACTCAGCCATCACTGAGTGGTCTCATTCCTTTTAACAGCATTACTAACAGAAGTGAGGGATTACAGAAAGAGAATGTTACAGGGAAGATTTTTTAACCGTGAAGGATGTTTTACTATTTTTTAATTCAAAACTGAACGTTCTACCTTTATAGTAAGAGATGAAAAAGATGTAACAGCTCCTTCCTACTTACTCATCTAACACATAAAACTGTGCAATTTCCATTTCAAGAGTAGGTGGGCACTAAGAACTCATCAATGAGCTGCAAAATCCAATCATTTTTATCTTCCTTCCTCCCTAGTTAAAAATACTTCATCTAGCTTTCTTGTTTTCCTGCCCCCAAATTATCAGTGTTTCACAACAAAAACTCAGTGCCAAGCACGTAGAGAAATGAGAACATTTCTTTTTCAAGCTTTTAGAGGGGTAACGTATTTTTTACCATAAACCTATACGAAGACTTTCTTTAGCAAACACTGCTCTTGCAGAGATGTGTATGCTAGCTGATGAGGGGATGAAAAGGCAAGAAAGCAGGAGGCACTGCTCTCATTAAAGCAACCCTTCAGCTGGATGGCTTCCACGATGTATCTGTACAGCTACATCACACAGCATGCAATAAGACACAGCTTAAAAAATGTAACAAAAACTGCTGGTCGATACAGCAAAATGACTAAGAAAAATATTTAATTCACTTTTTTTTAAGAAGATAGTTTGACAAACTCTTAAAACTATGTTTATTAACAGTGTTCTTTAGAACGGAATGACAAGAAAAGTGCTTGCTGTTCTGAAATCTGGCAATGCACGCTCCTACTATGCAGTAATTAAGGCCTTGATCATACCTCAGTCTTCATAAGACAGAGTTCCAACAAGAGATACAAACACACTGGTGGGCAACGCTATCTCCCGTACCTCCATGAACCTTCCTCTGTTCCTCTGCAGCAACGGGGCAAAAAAACACTGGGAAGAGGCAGTAAGGCCAAAGGTGTTTCTACAAAAATGTGTCCCTGACTGTACCAAAACAGGTCCCACAGAAAGTACAGAACTTTTTATTATTTAAACTTTGTTGCTCTTTTTTCCATTTTACTCTTGCCTCGTCCTCCCGACCTACTCCCACTGGATCTGTCAGTCTCACACTGACTGATTTGGTTTGTTACACTTACAGACTGCCTTAATTCCTTGTTTTCATAGTACCTAGCACTACAGGGGTTTCCCGAGGTCTACTGGATCTTACCACAAAACAAATGATAATTAAAGGACTTATCATGGAAAATAAAATTAACATGCATGGGCAGAAGAGTTACCTTCCTAACTTAAGGACTTAAACCCCTATCCTGCATGCTGCTGTGAGATTCCAAGAACATTCTTGGCTTGATTGGTCTGAGCAGGGATAGAGCCTTTTAGGTCCCTGCCAATGTGCAGCAACAAGCTGCTGCATCAAGATTAATTGAATGCTTTGAAATAAACCAGAATTCCTTTTAACTGGCACACCACCATTTAATTAATGATCGGAATTCTTACAGGGTTATAAAATACACTGCACACTGATTAATACTTTTATTGAATGATGTGTTCCTTTCACATCAGGCCACATATAAACCATTTTGAAATTCTTTGCTAATGTAAGTTTAAAAGTTCAATAGTAATTGTAAGAGGAAATGAAAGCCAAAAGAAGTGAATAAATGGTCACACAGCAAGAAATGCATGCTAGTGAACACCACTTTCTGGTTAAAAAAGACCTGAAGACACCAGCACGCATATCTTTTCAGCAGAATCAATGTGCCATTTATTAGCTGTTTGCCCCTGTAAGTAACAGGAATGCCAAACTCACTTCTAGTGCTATACGAAAATAATAAAAACCAAAGACAAATCAGGAATGAATCACTTAAAAATTACTACTCAGATTAAATAGGTGTGCTGCTAATGAGGGTGCCAATTAAGTGGATTCCACAAGACAATCTCATTTCAAAGCACAGCAATAATCATTAAAAGAATCTCAGAGACCATTAAATACTCAGCTGCAACAAAGCTTATGCTAAATTTTAGTGAAAATATATACTGGATTAGACTTCAGGGCCTAAAAAAACTCTAAGATAATCTCTTAGTTCAAAATGCTGACATTCACTATAAAAGTGCTTGCAAGTTTTCTGTTGTTTATGTTTTTAATCATGGAAGTTCAGACCATTAACATCTAAATGAAAGAAAAACATTTCCAAAGTCTCCTAGGCTTATAGGCGAAACATTGGAATTTAAACATGAGATACTCTACTTGTCCACTTGTGTCTGCAGCCTGCTGGAAATGTGTAGCAAGAGATGTCTCATCTTGGAAAACTTCACTGCACTCCAAACACTTTAGACCATGCCTACAGAGTTTTGATGGATCTTCGTCTAGCGGCATGGCTGGGACGATGGGTGTACTTGCTGGGGCTGATATGACTGTTCCCGTTATGCCAGACTGTATCTTAGTTACAGCGTGTGAGCCAGCTCCCACTGGGCTTTGAAGCATGGGTGTAGCAGTATTGCTTGAAGGAGATGCTATCATTTGATCTGCTGGGACTGGTTTTAAAATCAGGTGCGAACACTGCATTACAACTCCTTTTTCCTTGTGTCCACGAGCATGGGAAAGAAGACTACACTTGTTGTAGAAAACTAAATTCTTTGTACAATGATTACAAGTCACTTCAATTCGCACGCTCCTCCTGTCGTAATGCTGGGTCAGGCTCTTCTCAAGAGCGAAGGAGTCACCGCATTCCAGACACTTGTAACCTCGTGTGGGCAACGTTATTCCAGCACTGGCAGGAGGACTGAGGTTGGGGATGTAAACTGGGACAGGGTTGACACTACTCAGCACCTTATTGAACGCTTCCACTACAGAACTCTGTAGAGATGACACCACCTGGACTCGAGACACCTTTTTAGAAGGCTGTGAGGCTGCTGCAGAAATTATTGCCTGCTTTATTTGTTGCTGAGGTTTCGTTAGCACTTGTCGGAGTTCAGAGGTGGTTTGAGCACCCTGAGGCAGAAGATTAAGGTTGGCAAGATGGACTGTCTTTGGCACAAGTTTAGCACTCGCAAGGCTTGATGCTGGCACCACCACAGTCTGCTGCTGTATGGCATTGGCAGCTTTTATAATGGCGCTACTGGCACTCTGCACAGAAGCAGCAGATATTACAGTGGCTTTCACTGTAGTGTTGTTAGCAAGCTTCAAATTAATAACTTGTGAACCTGCTGTTTTCACTGCTGAAACTGGGAGGAAGGCAGTAGCCACAGGTTTGATAGTGACCTGCTTTGGTGCGAGTTCTGCAGATGCAACTGCATTGGTAACGACTGCGGACTGGAGAGGAGCTCTGGGAGGAGAGGAAAGAACAGCAGCAGAAGTTGATGAGGACAGGAGGGACGTCATAGAAGTTACCATAGAAGCAGTCTGCTCTGTTTTTTTACTCGAGTCCAAATCAACTTCTGGCAACACTCGAGTAACAGTTCTCTTGATCTCCCCGGAGGAAGTCTTGATGGTTTTTATGCGAACTTTAGGAATTGCTGGTGTGGACCCTGCAGGAGAAGACGGAGACCCTTTGCTACTGTTTTCACTTGATACACTTCTGGGACTATCAGGCGGTTTAACAGATGGCTTTTTAGCACCATCAATAAGACTCTGAGACTCAGGTGATTTTTCAGTAGTCCGGGGACTTTCACTCATATCTTTCGGCAAAGGAGAAGACTCCCCAGAATTAGACTGTAAATCCTTACAGGTATCTGTAGCTGCCTTTTTAGCGCTCAGTGCTGCGATCGCAGCAATGCATGAAGAAAGCTTTGCTGATGACTTTGCTTTGGACTGTGAAATGCTGGCAAGGTTTGTCTCACTCTTTTCAGCACTCAGTTTTCCATCGAGTACTCTGTTGTCAAGAAGCTTCTCAGAACTGTCTTTTAGCAATTTCTCCTCTGCTTTGCGAGCTTTGAAAGGCTCATAAATACTTAAATTCACAGAGTTTGTCTCTGTCTCCCGCTTAGAAACTTTATTTTTATCTATACTACTTGAAACTGAGATACTAGATTTAATCAAATTCTCTCCCCCGAGTGCTTTTAGTTTGTCATATTCCTGCTGAGATACAGAACCTGTCAAGATATTTGTTCTGAAATTTGCACGCATCTCTTCTTTGTCTGGAGGGTCATCTACCTCAATTTTTTCATCATCATCAAATTCTTCAGCACTTGAAATTGGACTAAACTGGTTAAAAGCCGAATCCTTCAGTGTTGTCTCAGAAGCTGACCCATCGTCTTTAAATGACTTTCCTTCATCTTTACTGTAACTATCAAGAGCTGAGGATGTTAGAAAGCCGTTATGCAAGCCATTGCCTGTGGAATGGTGGCCATCCTTGTCTACTCCTTCAGAAGAATCAATAGTACGTACGTTTTTCACAATGACACTCACACCAACGTCAGACGATGATGGCGTATGAGAATCTTCATCTGTGTGTGCATTTTGTTTTATCTGGCTTTCATGGTCATCATGTCCAGATTCAATAGCTGCTTTTGGGTCAACCATGTCTGGGATGTCAAAGGCTGCAAGAAGATCGTCAAAGTCTGGGGTCTTCATATCCCCCATGGTCATCTATTTGATTGAAGGCAAATCTGTAAAACAAGCAGAAAGTCCTCATCTCTCAGTATTTTAATCTCTAATAGCATACTATAACACAAATAACCACACATTCTCACACGCCATGCAAAAAGGTGTTATTTCACTTCTCAAGTGGTATTTTCAGAAATTACATATTAAAAATAGTATCCCACTGCAGGTGTACAATGTACAGTTGAATTACAATGCCAGGAACAACAGTAATCCATCAAGTTCATACAATGCACCCTAGTAATTTATTCTAGGGACATAGTTTCTCTTCCAGTGACTTTATTCCTGACTGCTCTCCTTACACTTTCTGCTACCCTGTCCCACCTCATGCCATGAATTGAGCAAGATACTGCTTTCAGAAAAACCATGAGCTATTTGTGTATTCCCCTAAGTCTAGATTTTCATTGGTATTTGCACTATCAACCTGATGAGCCTTCTCAAAGACAACAGAACAAATGTGTTTCTACTAGCAGTTTAAGAGTACTGCATTGTTTTCTGTAAATTAAACCACTTCATCTGAATTATGGAATATTTGTTCCCCAATGCCCACAAGATGTTTTTTCAGCAGCTCCAACAAAGAACTTGCTGTATTTACACTTATTCTACCAGGTGTCTCAGCTACTTCAAAGGCCTAGCATTATACAACCTCCAATGCAATTTACTGCAGTCATTCACCATTTTCCCCATTGTGGGTTTCCTACTGCATAACCTGAATGTCTCTTGATGCAACCTGAATGAACTACATGTGGTTCTATATTCACCTTATCCACTCTGCAAAAGCACTTTATGCTAATTCTCTCTCTTCAGTTTTCTTTCTAAGCTGAACAACACCAGATCTTTAGTTTCATTTCTTTCCCTCACAGATAATTTCCAGATCCCATTCTTTCCATTCACTGCTAGCCTCTAACACTTTTTTTTTTTCTTCCTGTTCCAAAATGCAGAAGATAACTCAGAATTGAAACCTTATAAATGCTTCTAAAAAGAAAAAGTAATATTTTTGAGCATACTTTCACGTTGTAAATCCCACTACAGTATTTGTTTTTCCACACGCTTCAAGAATATGCAAAGTTGTGCAAAATGAATCACTTGTACAGATCTAAGAAATCAGTTATGGAAAGCACAATTTCCTGTTTTCTTTTAGAACAGTGCACAGGTATAATATGTACTGTTATGGCAGAGCTGTCTTCGACTGTTCAGTACTTATCATGCAAAATTCAGCACTCAATCTGAAATGGTATTCAACCAAACTAGTGTTACTGTCAGAGAGCGTCCAGTTTGGAAGCATTCTACCTGCCCTCCTGCCTTACTATCAGCACTGAAAGGCAGAAAAACATTCCTTCAATACAGCTCAATATGCTGCCTCCAGTATCGATTAGCACAGGCCATCAAAGAGATACTGGGTGATTAAACCACAGCAGGGCCTCCAAGTTCCTCAACTTAGCTCAGCCAAGTGAGAAGCTGCTATGTTATACCCCATGGCAAATGGTCTGTTGGAACAGAATCACACAGGATCACAGAATGGCCAGGGTTGGAAGGGACCTCAAGGATCACGAATCTCCAACCCCCTGCCACATGCAGGGCCACCAACCTCCACATTTCATAGCAGCCCAGGCTGCCCAGGGCCCCATCCAACCTGGCCTTGAACACCTCCAGGGATGGACGGGGCATCCACAGCCTCTCTGGGCAGCTGTTCCAGCACCTCACCACTCTCTCTGTAAAGAACTTCCCCCTGACATCCAGCCCCCTGATCAACTTCGTGGCTCCTCTGGATCCTCTCCAACAGCTGACTTTCTTGTTCTGGGGGCTCCAGACCTGGACACAGCACTGCAGATGGGACCTCACAAGAGCAGAGTAGAGGGGGACGATCACCCCCTGTCCCTCCTGGCCACCCCTCTTCTGATGGAGCCCAGGATCCCATTTGCTTTCCGTGCTGAAACACAGCTGCCAACAGAATGCATCCTACAACTGCAGCACATCATCTCTTCCTCGTCATGGTTTATCTTGATACATTTTATAGAGAGAAACTACCTGCTGGCTGCTGAATTCAGCTGCAACAAGATCAAGAACCACTAATCCCAAGGCAGCTGCTATGGTTAAATGCACATTTTTATGGCTATCGTTATCAAGATGGACAGTACTCTAACTGTTCTGCAGTCAGATGTGGTTTATTTGGAAAGAGTAATTTCTCCACATGAGAAAAACCTGTCAGATTTATCTGTGCATCAACACAGGCCAACTGGAAGCCATTATGGACTCTGAGAAAGGCAATCAGGGAAAATTTGTCGAGGAAGAGACAAGAACATTGGAATACACGCTGCCACTTCATTTGCTACTTTAAATAAATACAGTATCATTTACATGGTCTATTTAATGGTTATGCTACTTTGTCTAATTTACTAAGCTCTTTTCATTACACCAAATTCTATGGAGATTAACTCACATTTTTAGGAAATATGACTATACTATTGCTATTAATGAATTCACCTTCCTTAATTAACTCAGTATTTCTTTCTTCCTGGAAATAGAGTATCACAGTGAATGCTCATTATTAAGATTTCACTACATCTGTAAATCATACAGTTATAAACTATATTTATCAGACATAAGATTGTTTCATTACGCTGGTAATCCAGGCATTATTATTTAATTTTAGAATTTAACCAGCCATCTATTTGAAAGCAAGTTTCTGGCCCTCATCCATTTAAAAGTGGTAACTGGGATAAAACCAGCAGAGAAATCTGAGGAAAGCAGTCAGTACAGCTGAGCCCTCTTCCAGCATCACCAGAAGCTAACTCATAGCATTCAGTGCACAACGCATCAGCAGCCACCTTCTAATATCAAAGATTATTTTGATGATCATATTTACCCACCGTGCTGGAGCCTGGACTTCAGTCCAGCCTCTGCCCAGGGGATTTCAAAGTCATGTGAGAGGGATGCAGTGACAAAGGCAGCTACCTAATAACTACTGCATGTCACCAGCACAATGAGAGACACTCAGTACGGCGGTGGTGTAGACATGACTGGATTTTTAATTCACTTCTGGACCTGTATTAACAAGGAAAGAAAAATACTGCAGGAAATTCAAAGAATATATGAAATGAGAACCGACAGAAACCAAAAGAAAGGCGGTCCAGAGTTCAGCGATGCAGACAAGAATGGAAGACCAGTGAGAACTACCAGTCTGATTTTTATCCCTTGTCTTCAAGTGGATGCATAACTTGTGCACAAATGAAGCACAAATTAAGAGAACACACTGAATGCACCGTCATGAACCTAATCGGATATACAAATGTCTAAAGTGTTCTTACACTTGCTCCTGCTATGTTTTATTTGCCATGCAAATAATCAGAGCTGTGGTAACAACACACACAGAGGAACAATGCTGAACTAAAGCTGATACCTAGACTGATTAAAATAAGACAGTGGTATTTATGTAATGCTTCACTTTGTCTGAATTACAACTTTAATGCTCTGGTTACAATTTCCTGGATTGCAAGGCGTTAATCTTTTTGTTCTTTACAAACCTAAGAATCACGTACACACAAATAATATTAACATTACAAAGAAAGTGCTTGTAAGAATTACATGGAAAAGGTTCTTGAGTCCAAAGCCAAAGCACACAAACAAAGCCTTAACTGACAGTTTTTCATGGTTCAATACACTGCAGTGCTCTCTCACTATGCATTCATCCATGGATGGCTTCTCTGCAGTTGTTAAACACACCTGTGCAAAACTTCCTCCAATTACATATGCTGCAGTCATTAACATTTAGCAACAGCGATGCTAAGTAAAGGCAACTTTACTGCATCAGGAATCTTTTAGAACAGAACTATATAGCAGAGAAGAGACACATTTGTTCCTTACCAAGACACTTCCTTAAGATTAATTCCAGTATCCCAGAAGAATGCAGAGGTCTTCAGCTCTAAGCTGAGATCTTAAACATATCCAGAGAGCACAGTGCCTGAAGCTGCAGGTGTCTCTCAGGTACACACAGACCAACTCCTGTGCTCTCCCAGAGTACAAGAACAGAGTGCTTTCTTCTACGTGGGGCACCTGAACTGCTGCTGCCTTCACAGAGAACCCTTCCCATTCTGCAAACCTCTAAAGCAATCCAAATCAAACAAGAAAGGAGAAAAGACCTGGTGAGCCTTGCTAAACAAGAAAACAGAGTTGTAACCTTCACATTTTATTTCTCTCTTACTTGCTATCGATGTAACTATCAATGCAACTTCCAGTGCATTAAGCTGGTTTTCATCGCAACTGTCAGGGTTCCAAAGCCACACTGCTCCCTTTTTTACCCAAACACCTTTCCCTAGCCTTTTCTCTGGAAGACAAAACTCTGCCTTTTACCCAAGATTGGAAACAAGAGGCCTTGGCTGCCGCACAAGTTGCTGACCTGCTCCTGCTCTGCCCCAACACGAAGCCTGTAAGCACTGCAAACAGAACACGAGGCAAGTTCCTGACTCCCTTGGGAACCGTCATTTTCCAGGAACTGGAATTTCTTTGAGAACTGCTTTCTTTGAGAAGTGCTGAGAGTAAAACCCAACATCTCCAAGAGATATACGAGCCAGTTAAAAATAAAAAAATAAATAAATCCCATCGGGAGGCTGCCATCAAAATTATCAGTTTTAGTGGTAATGACTTTCAAGTGCGCTTAACAAATGCAGCTCTCCAGAACTAAACAAAGAAATGGTCCAAAATGTGTGTAACCAAGCATTCCTCAGACATGACAAACAAAAGACACTGCAATGAACAATCTGCAGGACCCCCACCTTCTCAAACACCGCTGTCTGAAATACACAATTTTTCATTTTTAATTTCTAAGTAATAGGACAGCAAAATTCATTTCAAAACACTGACAATTTGAAGTGCATACTATGAAATACATCGGACGGATTATAACTTAAATTAAGCATTCCTAATTTTGGAGTTACGTATAAAGAGTTGGCACTTTGGGCAGAGCCAGCACATCTAAGAACCATCTCACTTCCAGATGATGGTGGTC